CCTCACTTCCACCGAACACCTCCATTGCCCGTCCATAATGTTCTGGCTTCACAATGAGGAAGGACTTGCTGGCGTTTGGGTGGTACCCTATTTGTGGGCCTCGTGATGTTACCAGGTCCCACCACTTTTTGATGTCCTCCACTTTTCCTGCTCCTGTAAGGTCATCAGCGTACGCCACTTGCTTGACCTCAGTTGTTACAAATTTTATTGTGTGTTGGAGCACTGATAGGCCTATTGCATACATTGCCATTGCAACAGGGTCCCTATGCATTGTCTACTACTACTACTTAATTCATTTTTTTTTTTTTTTTTTTTTTTTTTTTTTTAACGTGGCCTCCAGCCTCCCCCAATAGCCACACCTTCGCCGCCATTTATTTACCTTAATATTAAATATCCTAATACATAAGAAGCTATCCTATCTGTGTTAGATTAGTTGAGCCGCAGATCTATGCGGCATTCAGTGACTGTAGCCTCATAGTCAATATCTGCAGCAGTTGTCGGAGTAGGGGCAGAAGCTCTCGTTCCCCTGAGGCAGAGCAAAGCCGACCGAAGGAGAGAGAAGGACAGTCGACATCTCATCCAGGCTGTAACATAACTTCTGGGCTGCTGCTTCTGTTCGGAGATCAACTCCGCGAGTCTGGCGTAGAAACATCTTGCACTTGGGCCCATCCCACCAGAGGTTGTGAACACTAGAGGAGTGAAGCTGCCTTGATCAACATTTTGAATTCTCTCCCCATATGCCCGTCTCTTGTCGTTCTCGTTCCTCCTATGTGCAGCATCGAGAGCTAGGTTATGGTGACAAGCGGCCATGGGATCAAAAATCCTGATGTCGAAGAAAGCTCGCTGTCCCCGCGTCCAGAATCCTCGAGCACTGACGTCCACACGGGCTTCGTTAGATGTGTTTGAAGTCCTGTGTTGGAAGATCTCGCCATCCAGTGGAAGGAGGGTCGGTTCTACCATGACGTCCCGGCAGATTTCCTTCAACATATTTGCTGTGAGATCCCTTACCTCGTCATGCCTCATGCATATGAAGCCCCCCTTCTTGCAGACCATGGCGTGATCGCCATCATAGGAAGAGCCACACACGCATTGGGAGGGCAAACCATCTACTGGCCAACCGTACCTTAGAGCAATGGCATCTGTAAATTCTTGTTTGTTAAGGCTGAAACCATTTGCCCTTATCGGTAACGTAGTTAACCAGTTCGAGGCGCCCACCTCCTGCGCTATAGCTACTTTTTTTTTCAAATTTTCTGGAACCAGCAGCAATAGTTGTTGCAACATGTCATTTTGGCAGTGCTGCCGATCTGTTGTAATGGACCTACGGATCTTATTTACTTCGCTGGTGTCCACTTCCCCTGTTGCATTCTGGGCTATTATGTGGTCAGTGAGGGCTGCCGTGAGCTTAAGTGAATTCTGATGTTCAGTGTCAGCAATCTCCTCTGGATTAGTTAGTCCCATCCCTCCCAGTCTTGGTGGAAGTGCAAGAAGTGTTCTTTCTGCTGGGGTTAAGTCAGGGTGTTTCACTAGTTTGGGAATGAACTTGACACTGATGGCTTCTTCCAGAGGGTGGAGGAGGGGTCCGATCTCAGGGATGGTACGCATCAGGTAGTTCCAGCGATGCTTGACTCCATGGGTGAATGCTGCAAAGGCCGCATGTGGCTCTGTGTTAGCAATCTCAGATAGAGCTTGGATTTCGCTAACCCACTCATTCACCTTTCCCGCTACGTACTCGGTCTTGAAGTCCGTAGTGCCAATTACTGCGCCTAGATGTCTTTGGCCGTCCTTAGTTATTTTGACCTCACTTCCGCCAAAAACCTCCAATGCCCGTTCATAATGTTCTGGCTTCACGATGAGGAAGGACTTGCTGGCGTTTGGGTGGTACCCTATTTGTGGACCTCGCGATGTTACCAGGTCCCACCACTTTTTGATGCCCTCCACTTTTCCTGCTCCTGTAAGGTCATCAGCATATGCCACTTGTTTGACCCCAGTTGTTTCAAATTTTATTTCTTGTTGGAGCACTGATAGGCCAATTGCATACATTGCCATTGCAACGGAGTCCCCCTGTGTTGTTCCCTCGGCCGACTGTAGGATGGTATCACCTCGTAGAGCCTTGTTGTTTACTATGTAGAGGTCTGAAGGATTCCTATATGAATTTTCAACATACATCGCAAAGCTAGGACACTTGATCTAATTTACTAATAATAATAATAATAATAATAATAATAATAATAATAATAATAATAATAATAATAATAATAATAATAATAATAATAATAATAATAATAATAATAATAATAATAATAATAATGAAGAAGTCAGGATATCAGTGAGGATTGTTACTTCTTCTGCCAAAGCAGCGCTGGTGATATGCGCACAGCATCAGCAGAAGGAAAAGCAAAAGCTGTAACTGTGAGCTATGAGAGAAAGAACCTGGGAGATACTTACTGTCTTGATGTTTTACAAAGACTGGAAAGTCATCCCAAAGATGATTTCAATGCATTGGAACTCAAGTGGCATAAATCATGCTACTCTTTATTCACCTCTGAAGGCAACTCACAAGGCTATGAAGTCAGCGGCAGACCATGGGTGATCGGAGACCACACAAAAGTACAGACTCTCAGGTTTTTCCCGCAAGGCATAGAAGTTCAACACCAGTGACTGAGTGGACCCTCGGCATGCTTTGTCAAACTAAAACCACAAAGAAATTTGCACAGGGTGGAGGCAATGGAGAAGTCAGGGACAACCTGGCCGGCTTCCACGCTTTGACCGGGTGTGATACAGTCTCATCCTTCAGTGGTCATGGGAAAAATAAGTGTTGGAAGGTGTTCAGTGACCACCCACTCTTGCTGCACGCCATTGGTCGAGATGGGGATATCACAGATGTTGAGAAGTTTGTGTGTCATTTGTATGGCACCACGGAACAACACACAGTTGAAGATGCCAGAGTTCACCTTTTGGGAAGGCCAGGAAGTCTCTGGAAATGCTCCCATCGACAAAGATGCGCTGGAGCTCTACGCCAAGTGAACAAACTATCAAGCCAAAATATGGCTCCAGGTTAACAAAGACAACGTAGTTGTTGAAGACCCGGTGGACACTTGAGCCTGGAAGGTGGAAGATGCGAGCCTCCTACCGGTGTGGACAAGAGAGCTGGGGAGTAGATCCTTGTTTCCCTCCCGGCTGAAATCGAGAGGAACTAATAATTACTCTGTTCTTAAGTAATTGCAATCCACACAATTGTGTCAGTGCAGCATTTAGGTGCTGCTCCTCAAGAAATGTGAACTTGCAGATGTTTCTCGTGTGTAAACTATAGACTTATGGGCTTATATTTACTGCTATGTGATTTAGTTGTGATAATTCTGTTGGTGTGAGTACTTAATTCGTGCCGTCAAATTTATTAGGCAGTCTATGATAGTTTTTATTTTGACAAACAGACTTGCTCAGTGTTTGTTTTTTACCCTCAATTGGTAATTCGGATGGAATAAGCGTGTCATCATTCTTGTTTATCACTAATTGTGGCACTATGAAAAAATAATTCAAACCAATTTGCTTAGAATATTTTTCAATGAAATTAGACAATATATTTTTTTGCACAATTTGACCTCGAAAATTGCTTTCAAAGCCAAGAGAGAGAGAGGGTGGCCTCTACCTGCATTTATTCCTCACCCACAGGTAGAGTCCCCTCCACTAGTGGGCGTACAGGTTTTGTGCAGTGTGGCATCATAGTGTTTGATTACATACGAAAGAAAGAAACTTGCAATAGTAAGCATATTATGGAAAAAAATAAAACAATATTAAAACCAATATTTCAATGTTTATATGACGAGCTGCTGTAAACACACTTGTGAAGGGGACTGTACTGTACACTAATTTAGCATGGGTGTCAGCTACTAACAAAAGGATGCCGGTCCACTATAATACAACTAAGATTACCCAGAACATTTTGCTTGATGCCTCTTGTTATGCATGGCGTAATACACAGTGGTGCATTGTGAAATATCTGGAGGCATGTTAACCTCAACTTATGTTTATAGAATATTTCGTATTATTATGTGTGAGCAGCGCTGGTACATGATACATAATGTTTCTTTTATGTATGTTGGTATTTCTGCAGCTTAATGTTGGAGTTGATTAATATTAGTGTAAGGTTTGTAGTCCCCTGGAGTATGGAGCTATGTCAGTCACTGGCCGTGGGAGTAGGAGGACGTCCCAGTTTGTCAGCAGTGGATACCTTTTTAAGTAGGGTTTAGTTGAGTATTATATTCAGTGCTGCTCTATTATTACCCATGGTGTGTGAAGAGCAATCAATTATTGTGCTGTGAAGTGGGTTATTATTTATACACAGTGCCAATAGTAGTTGTATATTAAGGATTATGTTTATTATTTATTCTCTTGATTTAATTTATCTTATGGAACCTACACACTTATTATGGGAAACTTTTGTTATTAGATTGTATTTAAATCCTTCGTGATGTGTATAATACCAAACCTTCTCTCCTGAACTGTTGTGATAAAGAGACGACTGTGGTTGAACCCACGACCAAGATGTGATGAGTCGCCACTTTGTTCTTTTGTTGTTGTGCTATAAGTGCCACCATTAGTGTATTAATCTTTAACATAATTCAAGTTGATAAGTTATGGCATAACACTCTTCAATGTCTCCGTAGCACTACAACACTTTCTCTGCCCACAACAACTCTAGCCTGTGTTCCTCAGACTCTTACCTTAACTCTTATATTACAACACACAAATACTGAAGCGAGTTATGAAGGTTCTTTTGCTATTCATCACGTGTAAAATGGAATTCTTCAGCTACTGGATAATCACATCATTCAAAAACAAAATTGTACCATTCAGGTGCTGTACACTACTCCAGTCTTACGAATCTTTTTGGATTTATTGTACCTGAGAAGAAAGTTTGTTCTTGTAACTTGGATTATATAATGAGCAAATGACTTCTCTGTTTTATATAGATAGATTATAGGGGAGAGTATGACCTACAGCACGGGAGTCTGGTGGCTGCTGGCTGGAGTGACGGAACAGTAGTGACATACGATTTTCGCTCCGCCATCTCTCCAGTCATCATCCCCTCCATCACTACAGCTGGCAAGCATCTCCTGCCTGTCATTCAGGTGAGACATGGGGTAGTTTCCATGTAAGTCCACTATTTTACCTAAATATATTTGATAAATATTATTGATATAGTTCCAAATGTTCAGGAACTTTTGTAAGTTGATATGCATTGCATGTAACTTTGGTAGCATGTGTTGAGCTGTATGGGATATGGTATTCAACATTATATGTGAAACTTATCTAAACTTTGGGACCTGGAGAGAAAAGACACTACGACTACTCTTTTTCTTTTTTTAAACGTGGCCTCCAGCCTCCCCCAATAGCCACACCTTCGCCGCCATTTTATTACCTTAAAATTAAATATCCTAATACATAAGTAGCTATCCTATCTGTGTTGAGTTAGTTGAGTCAAAGATCTATGAGGCATTCAGTGACTGTTGCCTCATAGTCAATATCTGCAACTGTTGTCGGCTTTGGGGCCGATGCTCTCGTTCCCCTGAGGCAGAGCAAAGCAGATATAAGGAAACAGAAGGACAGTCGACATCTCATCCAGGCTGTAACATAACTTCTGGGCTGCTGCTTCTGTTCAGAGACCACCTCCGCGAGTCTGGTGTAGAAGCGTCTTGCACTTGGTCCCATCCCGCCAGAGGTTGTGAACACTAGAGAAGTGAAGCTGCCTTGGTCAACGTTTTGAATTCTCTCCCCGTATGCCCTTATCTTGTCGTTCTCGTTCCTCCTATGTGCAGCATCGAGAGCTAGGTTACGGTGACATGCGGCCATGGGATAAAAAATCCTGATATCGAAGAAGGCTCGCTGTCCCCGCGTCCAAAATCCTCAAGCACTGACGTCAACATGGGATGCGTTGGATGTGTTTGAAGTCCTATGTTGGAAAATCTCACCGTCCAATGGAAGGAGGGTCGGTTCTACCATGACAAAACGGCAGAGTTCCTTCAACATATTTGCTGTGAGATCCCTTACTTCTACTTCTACTACTACTACTACTACTACTACTACTTTTTTTTTTTTTTTTTTTTTTTTTTCCAAACGTGGCCTCCAGCCTCCCCCAATAGCCACACCTTCGCCACCATTTATTTACCTTAATATTAAATATCCTAATACATAAGAAGCTATCCTATCTGTGTTAAATTAGTTGAGCCGCAGATCTATGCGGCATTCAGTGACTGTAGCCTCATAGTCAATATCTGCAGCAGTTGTCGGAGTAGGGGCAGAAGCTCTCGTTCCCCTGAGGCAGAGCAAAGCCGACCGAAGGGAGAGAGGACAGTCGACATCTCATCCAGGCTGTAACATAACTTCTGGGCTGCTGCTTCTGTTCGGAGATCAACTCCGCGAGTCTGGCGTAGAAACATCTTGCACTTGGGCCCATCCCACCAGAGGTTGTGAACACTAGAGGAGTGAAGCTGCCTTGATCAACATTTTGAATTCTCTCCCCATATGCCCGTCTCTTGTCGTTCTCGTTCCTCCTATGTGCAGCATCGAGAGCTAGGTTACGGTGACAAGCGGCCATGGGATCAAAAATCCTGATGTCGAAGAAAGCTCGCTGTCCCCGCGTCCAGAATCCTCGAGCACTACTACTACTACTACTACTACTACTACTACTACTACTACTACTACTACTACTACTACTACTACTACTACTACTTTGCTGTCACTCAGAATCGAGTATGACGATCATCCAGCTATGATACAATGATATGAGCTATTAAAGATGACACTTTCGTTGGTGAACTCAGAGGTGACTCGAGAGACCGATACGAAACCGGCAAGGCCGTTCACAGATGTTGCACGTGTGGAGGGCTACATCTAGGTCACATGCAGTATGAGCGACGAGGGTGAGGCCGTCTGCATACTGATGTTCAGTGACGGAAGAGGTCGACACCTTTGTTCCTGCCTGGAGTCGTTTTATATTGAAAAATCCCTTAATCCAATACTGAATGTACAACCCGCAGGTTAAACTGGCACTGGCACGAGTAAGGAAGGCAGCCAAGATAATATAGAAGAGAGTTGGTGCCAGTACACACCCTTGTTTAACCCCTGTTTGGATGGGGAAGAACTCAGACTGGGTGCCGTTGTGCAGGACACTGCCATTCATGTCATCGTGGAGTTGCCTCACAATGGTGATTAAAAGAAATACAGTATATCATTTTTCTTCGTTTTTATAATTGGTATTGTGTAACTAGTGGTGGACTATGTGTTTACAAACACAACCTCTGTTTATTCAATGAATGTACAGTTGACTCCACTCCAGACTTTACCACTAAACGGTGCCAGTCCTCTCTTTCCCTCAGGTGTAAGCCATCGAATCCTAAAGTGTGAAACTGGTTCATTCACTAGTGAGCGGGAGGGAGAGTGGGGGGTGTGTCGGGTTTGGAGTCTTTTTGTGGGATGAGACGGAGTACTGGGTGGTGAGGAAGGAAAGTGTATATCAGTTGGGAGAAATTACAGTGCAGAATAACGCTTTGATAATTGTGTTCCGTCAGCTGAGTGTAATCGTCTAGCACTAACCAGATAAAAATATTAGATGAGATGTCGTACTGAAGGGATTAATTTTCAATCAAAACAGCTAGGAAGTGGGCACCACAAATTTATTGCAATGCAAACTTGATGTGAACAAAAATAGTTCAGTTGGCAGCTGTCCTGTATAGAATCAGAAAGCCACATAGTTTAATAAACAAGTGATCGTGGGTACTTCGTGCCTGGTGGCGAGTCCGGTGGTACAGTTTACCAAAGCGTGAAAGTTCGAACACTCGTGCTTGGCTAGCGCGCAACCGCCGGAAGGTTGGCAGTGTACAGCGACATCGTTTTCCAGCGTAAATAAAATGGTTAATTAATGATTTTCTAGAAACCTTCGATATGGGAACAGGTTTGTTCCACTCTACGAATTTTTAGCGATTTTTCCACAAGTTTGATGAAAAACGATTGTGCAGTTTCGGCTGCCTAGAACAGACACACACACGGCTATTCCTATAGTGGTTGTTATAATCATGGTCGTGGTTGTTATAATCATGGTCGTGGTTGTTATAATCATGGTCGTGGTTGTTATAATCATGGTCGTGGTTGTTATAATCATGGTCGTGGTTGTTATAATCATAGTTGTGACTGGCCATGTTACCCGCATGACGACAGTAGACTGCCAAAGCAGCTACTTTACAGTCACCTAACGAATAGTAACGTAACGCCGGCGGGCAACTGAAAGGTATAAAGATAGTCTTAAGACAAACCTGAAAAAAGTGGCAAATCGACCCCCTCACCTGGGAGACGATTACACCACACTGTAACGCTTGGAGCAGCACCATACGAGAAGGTGTCAATACTTTAGAGTTAGTCCGACTGCATAACGAGGCAGACAAGCGCCAACGCCGGAAAGACGCTGCCGCCGCCCCTCCCGCACTAGTTGTAGTCCTCCACATGTTCAACATCTGTGAACGACCCTGCCGGTCACGTATCGGCCTCTTTAGCCACCTCAAAACTCACCAACCCTTATAACTCTTATCATTGTGTCATAGCTGGATGATCGACATACTCGATTCTGAGTGACAGCAAAGTAGTAGTAGTAGGTGGTGGTGTTGGAGGTGACGGAGGCTGGTGGGTCCTTGTAGTTAGCTATTATGGGTTCTTCCTTTTCCTTAGAAAGAGTAATGTTGTGACCTGTTCTTTTCTATCACTGTATGGATAACATAGTTTTAAGTGGCAGGGATTTTCAGAAGCACTTTTGTGTGATTTTTACTTTATTAGTTTAACACTATAATACAGCTTACATACAGGGAAGACTATATTTAGGAAGTCTCTCCATCGGAACTCAGAAAAAAGTGCACACAGTCTGAGCTCAGAGAAGTATCTGTGGGCAGGCCCGTGTAAAGCTTCTTCATGACTTAAGAGGTCAAGCACATCCATACGTTGAACAGGTTCTTAAGATTACATTTTGATAAATGAATAATAAGTTATAAGAGTGGTGTAACAAGGTGGTTAGGTGGTTGTGGTGGTGTCGGCTGGTAGACTATTATTTTATCTGTTAGTCAATGAAACTTAAATAGGTTATCAATTTTCAACCTAATTTTCCTTATCCTGCGTCATTCTGTTATGACAGTTGGCTTCTTCGTCTCTTGTGTACATTTTTTAAATAAACTCTATATATCCACCACTTTGGAACCACTAGGATTAAAATAGCCACAGATCCATTTTTGTGTATTATAATTATAAGTACTATAGAAATGTCATATTTTTCTCCTAATACTCAGTCAATTTGGATTCAATTCTTTTCAAAATATAGAGACAGCGATGTGTAAGGCTAAAACGAGTCATAATGAACACTAAGAAGGTATAAGGGATATCTCATCATGATCAGAAGACGTTATCACTAACATCATCCATTAAGTTCATTTTCTATTTATATCTAGAATAGCACCGCCTACCAATATGACGTGTCGTTTTGTGATTCGATGTGCCTCATGTGTACACAATTGCAGGGGGTCAATTGCCTCTCTTACTATTGACAACACAACATATATAACCTTTCTCTCCCTTTATAAGTTTTATCCTTTCTGTTTTCTTATTCTCCTATGATATCAGTTGACAATAATATTAAAGTGGGGCCCTCTCGGATGGGTCCCACTGGTCGGGAAGGTTGTGGACCCCGGGGCCGACCTGATCATCATCAAGCTACTGGGGCCTCAACTGACGCCACCGCGGTTGCTGGAGGATCGGCTTTTTTCACACTTCATTTTTCCAACATTCGCGGCCTGAGATCCAATTTTTCTTCTGTGGAGCACCATCTATTAACCTCTTCCCCCGATCTCTTACTACTCTCCGAACTTCAACTGACCAAAGCAGCTTCACCCAAACTACAGCCTTTATACCTACTTCCGTTCTAAGGGAGGTGTATGCGCCTACTGCAACACACGTACACCTATAGCCCGACTCACGGATCTTGAATCTCCCCTTTATGATGTCATCTGGCTCAAAATATCTCTACCTACTGTGACTATTTTTCTTTGTTTCCTACACTGTTCTCCCAACTCTACCAACTATTTCGAACTCTTTGACTATCTCACTTCTTGCCATGAGTCGTTGCTATGTACACCCCAACACCGAGATCCTCTCCCTAGGGGATTTCAATGTACATCACAGAGAGTGGCTTGGCTCTGCAAGGGATGACCCAGGTGGAGCTGAGGCACTCTCTCTTTCATTACTTAATGATCTGGAACAAATAATTAAGTACCCTAAACGTGTTCCTGATCGACACGATCAACTTACTAACATTCTTGATCTTTGTTTTACCTCTAACCCCTCACACTATTTATACTCAAACTCGGCACGACCACCTCCCCCACCCTCCTCTAATCGTCAACTATGGCACTATCGGATGAATGTTGCTTTTCCACTCGGGACGCCTCGGTATGTGCTGACAACATTGCTGGGGTTATACAGGGCGGTATGAGTGCATTTATCCCATCTTCTACCAAAACTTTCACATTACAATCATTGGTTCATCGCTCCTGCTCTCTTGCTTGCAGGGTGAGAGATAGGGCATATCGAGCTATGAAACTATCTCCTTCTGCTATTACCCGCACCTCTTTCATTACTTCTAGGAATCGTTGTAAGGCTATTCTTCGTAGGGCCAAACGAAATTTTATATAAATAAAGACCGCTGTCCTGACTAATTCTTCCTCTAGTAAATCCTTCTGGTCCTTAACCAAAAACATCTATAATAACTTCTGCACTCCCTCTTTTCCTCCTCTCTTCCGACCTAATAACTCTATAGCCAACTCTCCTCCTGACAAAGTCAATCTCTGGCACCTTATTCTCCTCTAACTCCACCTTAGGCAATTCCCACTCTATCCTGCTCCTCCTACTAAACCTATGCACTTACCTATAATCTCCACTCGTAGGGTTGCTGGTGTATTATCCAGGTTAGATGTAAGACACATGGACCGGACGGAATACCCCCTCGTGTTCTGAGGGAGTGTACTGAAGTTCTGGCCCCTGTGCTTGCTCGCCTCTTTCGCCTTTGCCTCAAAACCCAAACTTTTCCTTCTTCTTGGAAGCATGCCTTGGTTCAGCCCATCCCGAAGACGGGTGACCATTCTAATCCCTCTAACTATCGCCCCATTGCCCTAACTTCATCCCTCTCTAAGATTCTCGAATATTTCTTAAACTCTCATTTTCTCCGTCACCTTGAACGCCTTTCTCTTTTGTCGGATCACCAGTATGGCTTTCGCCAGGCGAGATCTACTGGTGATCTGCTCTCCTACTGCACCCATCTTTGGTCATCCTCTCTTACGGATTATGGGGAAACTTTCGTCGTGGCTCTCGACATCTCCAAAGCATTTGACAGGACATGGCACAAGTCTTTCCTTTCTAAACTTCCCTCTCATGGTTTCTCTCCCCCACTTTGTTCTCCTAATGGGGAGGTAGAAACTTGGTTAAATACAACAGTAATAAAAGACAGTATTTACCAATTACACTTGAAAATAGAAAATCTCCCATCAATCTCATTTCAGGATGCAATCATTATGCCAAATTCTAAAATAGATATGCTAGGCCTCACCATTTCCTCTAATATGTCATGGAAGCCACACATCCTTAACATTGCTAAAGCTGCCTCCTGAAAGCTGGGAATGTTGTACAGATGCCGTAGCTACTTCACTCCGGAGCAGTTGCTTCAAGTATATAAGGGATTCATTCGTCCTAACTTGGAGTACTGCTCTCATATCTGGGGTGGCTCTTCTTCTGTCCAACTATTAGATAGGATGGAATCAAAGGCATTTCGTCTTATTAACTCTCCTCCTTTAGTCGACAATCTCTCTTCCCTTTCTCTTCGCCGCAATGTTGCTTCACTCTCTCTCTTTTACAGGTACTTTAACGGGCAATGTTCGGTGGATTTGGCATCCTGTGTACCGCCGGCAAGGCAGTGGGCTCGTAACACTCGTCTTGCCCATGGTGCCCACCGTTTCTCTGTGGATGTCGGTCACACTAGAATAACCTGTTATAGTACCTCCTTCTTTCCTCACACAGCCAAACTGTGGAATTCTCTGCCTTCTTTTGTGTTTCCATACTCATACAATCTGTCTCATTTCAAAAAGTTGGTTTTCCGGCATCTTCGTGGTGTAGATTAATATAATATTTTTCTCTTCTATTTTTAATTTCTTTTTACTCTCATTTTTTCGCCCCCCAGGCACCTTTGTGGGTCGACGACCTGTGCCCGGGCGGGCTATTCCCCGTAAAAAAAAAGTGCTTAGCTTGAGTCTGATGTGTGGAGACTCCCTCAGATGCGTAGAGTTCTATGTTGGATTACATTTTGAAGGTTTCGAGACTTGATTCACACATAATAAATAAACTAAATTGCTATGTTAAATAGTTGCTAGGTCTAGGAGATGCGAAAACATCTGCTCTGGACTGGACGTGTCAGCTTCTAGATTTCCAACAAGTTCCGATCTGTCGCCACGCGTCCTGTCGCTATCAGATCTTATATTAGTGTGTCTGCCTGTGTGGCTGTGGCCCTGTGGCCGCTTCACCGCCGGGCGTCTCTCGTTGGCGTCACTGCCGTAACAAAATGGAGGGAACTACTTATTTTTAATTATCTTCTTAACTATAAATTATAATTTTTCCCCTCAGTAAACTTATTACTAAATTGCATAATGATTTTTTCATTAAATTTGGTATTAACACAAAGTGTAGTTCATAAGATACAAATTCCCTTTTCCGCCAATTTATGCAAATACTAGTGATTTCGTAACTAATTGAGTTGAATTGTTCAATGAAATGACTAGGCTTTAATACATCATGTTACTTTAACATTTTTATACTTATTATAGATAATTATGTGCATATATATATATATATATATATATATATATATATATATATATATATATATATATATATATATATATATATATATATATATATATATATATATATATATCGCTATATTTTATGCGACAAATGGTAAAACTGGATATTTTGGGCTATATTGTGATACAGTCAAGTGAGCGGTTGTTTATATATACATAGGAAAAAGAAAAGACGAGGTTCCCAAGCGCTCTTCAGGAGTGTGTGTGTGTGTGTGTGTGTGTGTGTGTGTGTGTGTGTGTGTGTGTGTGTGTGTGTGTGTGTGTGTGTGTGTGTGTGTGTGTGTGTGTGTGTGTGTGTGTGTGTGTGTGTGTGTGTGTGTGTGTGTGTGTGTGTGTGTGTGTGTGTGTGTGTGTGTGTGTGTGTGTGTGTGTGTGTGTGTGTGTGTGTGTGTGTGTGTGTGTGTGTGTGTGTGTGTGTGTGTGGAGAGAAAGAGACCACCAGAGGAGCCGCATCGCTCCTCCTCTGGTGGACTTGACTGCTGAGGGACAAATAATATTGGTTGATCATTTTGACTCAGAACTCATGAGATCATAGGCGTCTGGCTCCACCAATCACAAGCCAAAACTAAAGTGAGGGGCGGTGCTTATTAGGGATATTAATAACAAAATAAATATAGTTAGTGGTAAGATAATAATATAAGTCACTACAGGTAAGATAACAAAGGTCACTACAGGTAAGATAACAAAGGTCACTACAGGTAAGATAACAAAGGTCACTACAGGTAAGATAACAAAGGTCACTACAAGTAAGATACAATGGTCACTACAAGTAAGATACAAAGGTCACTACAGGTAAGATACAATGGTCACTACAGGTAAGATAACAAAGGTCACTACAGGTAAGATACAAAGGTCACCACAGGTAAGATAACAAAGGTCACTACAGGTAAGATAACAAAGGTCACCACAGGTAAGATACAAAGGTCACCACAGGTAAGATAACAAAGGTCACCACAGGTAAGATAACAAAGGTCACCACAGGTGAGATACAAAGGTCACCACAGGTAATATAACAAAGGTCACCACAGGTAATATAACAAAGGTCACCACAGGTAATATAACAAAGGTCACTACAGGTAATATAACAAAGGTCACTACAGGTAATATAACAATAAGTTACTACAGGTACGGTGGGTCCAAACAGAGCCAGGGGAGGACTTGAGTTTCTTCTCCGTGGCGCTGGACGGCAGGGTGACACAGTGGCACCTCCACGCCTCCGCTCTCTACCATACAGACATCCTTGACTTTAACATCGTCGACCAACTCACCGCAAGCCTGGCTGCACATGACAGAGAGTTTCTAGAAGGTATTGATTTACTCACACACACACACACACACACATTCCCCAATTATGTAACTGTATATTTTCAGCCTTCCGTATGCCATGCTCTTTCAATAAACCGTAAATTATTAGTATTATTATTACACACTTGTACATATGTGTGTGTGTGTGTGTGTGTGTGTGTGTGTGTGTGTGAGTATTATGTATTATACTGTAATATCCATATTGCTTTTTGTAATTACATTCTGAAATGTATGGAGGATCATTTTTTGTATTTGTTTGTCAATTGTTAAACTGCCCCCATGGTTGTTCGGACCCGTGGCCCTCGTTGTCAGCCGAGGTGTGGTGGCGCCAGTTGCCGACCAGCCAGGCTAGTTGTACCCTGACCGGCACCGAGAGAACACCACTTGTAACCTTGTCAATAAATCAAACCAGAACTCCCCGTTTGCTTGATCTTGACTGTTGGCAGCGGTAACAAGAGGATGACAGATGATAGCGCTACCAGCAACTCTCGAGTGCAGGAGATTCCACTGACGTAAACGTTCGGCGATGACGCCTCTCCAGCCACGATCCGAGCCTTCGCCACGCACTACAACCTCGTTAAGAACGCCAACATCATGCGCAGAGTGGACGCATGGAATAGACCGGACTACCGGGCTACAATGTTACGTTTACAACTGCGAGGGACGACGGCGATTTATGTGGAGCAGCAGGCGACATTTATTCTAGACTGTTGGAAGAGTGACGGTGAAATTTGAGAGAGACTGACGGCAAGGTTTATGACTGCTGATGCCACGTCGAGGTGAGGAGTTGAGTGATTTCATGACCCGTTTGCAGCAACTAGCGGGTCAAGCGTTCGCTGTAGATCCTAATGACATAGTTCGTACACGGGTAGTTTGGTGGTTCCTGGATGGGATAAGGGACCAGGACGTGAGGCTGCAGATATGAGAAAAGTGGATGGAGACAGACGAGGCGGCGAAGTCCTGTGAAGAGGTAATGTAAGTTGCGAAAAATGCTCTGTCGACGAGGCAGTACTTATAATATAAATGTAAAATAAGTAAATAAATAAATAGAAATGATATTCGTGGTAACGTCAGGTTATATGTACTAATCCAGATGATACTAAACGCTAAATAATTCCTTGAAACAAATATACCGTATATATCAGGTGCAGTGCCGGATTTAGACCTGTGGAGGCCCATGGGCAGCCTCTTTGTGGAGGCCCCTCTCATTATAACTACCCAAGAGGGTGGGGTGGCAAGTGAAGCGAGCCTAAACATCTGGGAGTTCCGGGGGGCGCTGTAAGCCCCCCGGGAAAATTGTGAAATTTGAACACTTCTTTGGAGAATTTTGAAGCCATGATGGAATAGATAAACATGAATTTTAAAGAATGAAAATAAAAATAATCCAAATGAATAAACAAATAAATAAAATATTGTAATATGTTGAGGCCCCCAGATGGTGGAGGCCCCCGGGCAGCTGCCCACTTTGCCCACTCCTGAATCCGGCCCTGGTTCAGGGGCCACAAAGAGAACTCGGGCTCTCTCTGGCTCCGCCATGTTAATGTTAATAATATTATCCACTCTCTATCTGTGTTTTTTCTGACTAAATAAAATGTTTCAACATTAATTCCGTATCAGTGACGTCAAGATAAAGTTGGCTGGGCTCCACTTATCTTGTGCTTTTTATTCGTGTTTTTGTAAGTCTTTATTAACGATTTTCTTAAAATTTCATTTGCTCAAAGAAATTTAACTTGTTTGATTCGGTAATTTTATCTGAAAATGAATAGTTATTAATTTGTTCATAAACGCAATTATACTAAAAAAAACCCTAGTGTGTACTGTATATACAGTACGCCTACCAGGACAACTCCCATGTGTGATACAACTGAGAATCGGGGTTATACTGTCGAGCAACATGACCGTTTTAAAGCCTGAGACACGGCTGGGACACACTGAACACTTGCCGTATTCGGGAATCGTGTACATTAATTTTAGATAATTTCATGTTTATACTACATAAATAAACTCAACGTGATTATAAGCCAATCTCTGATTTATTTTCAATTGGAGGTAAACCATTTTCCATGGTTAAATTTATAACTATTACAAATATATACAGTACATGTTACAGGCAAATCTTTAAAAGCCTTGGCTAATATTCCGTTTTCGTGAAATATGACATGCTTACGTCAGTTAATGTTATGACAAATTACTCAGTCTTCACACGGAATATAACCTAACCTAACCTAACCTAACCTAACCTAACCTAACTTAATTATGACTTAGCTTAGTATATAAATAAAAAAAATGCATGTTGTAAACGTGTCATTTAAAGGTGATGGAAGATTTTACCAGATACCTTACAATTGCCTGTAACACACACACACACACACACACACACACACACACACACACATATACTACTGCTACTACTACTACTATTTTTCTGTCACTCTGAATCGAGTATGACGAACATCCAGCTATGATAGGAGTTATTAGGGATGTCACCTTCATTGGTGAGCTCTGACGTGACTAAAGAGGCCGATACGGGACCGGCAGAGTCGTTTACAGATGTTGCACATGAGGGCTACAACGAGTGCGGGAGGGGCGGTGGCACCGTCTCAACGTCATTGGCGCTTGTCTGCCTCGGTTTGCAGTCGGGCTAACTCGAAAATATTGACACCTTCTCGTCTAGTGCTTCTCCAAGCATTAAAATGTGGAATAATCGTCTCCCAGGTGAGGGGGTCGATATGGTACTTTCTTTCAGGTTTGTCTTAAGACTATCCTTATACCCTTTCATTTGTCCGCCGGCGTTACGTTTACTATTCGTTAGCCGACTTTAAAGTAGCTGCTTTGGCAGTCTACTGTAGTCCAAGCGGGTAAAATGGCCAGTCCATCGTACTTGTTCGTGGTTAATGGTAGCCTCGATGCTCCTACAGTTGGTGTCAGCAAGAATATATCATTTGTTCTCTTGTCTTCCCAACGGACTCGGAGGTGAAAGTTTTCAAGTGCCTTGAGGTGCCTCCTGTATATGACTTATGTTTCGCTGCCATATAGCAGAGTGGGGAGGACCACTGCTCGATATTCGTGTAACTTTGTAGATAATTTCAACTCCCTACAGCTGAAGACACGATTTCAGTCTGCCAAAGGCTGAGATACACATCTTATCCGTTGCTGAATTTCATCATCGATGTTCGCGGTGGAGGACAGGAGGGAGCCGAGATACTAAAAGTGGGTAACATTAGTGAGGGTAATACCATTAAAATGGATGGATGGATGGATGGTGGAGGTATCTGAACCAGGGGCAGGTTGAAAGAGAATCCGAGTCTTACTTGCATTCACCTCGAGGCCGAAGTGTGCATACGCATCTGCATAGGTGTTTAGGATCTCCTGTAGGTCGCGTTCAGTGTGAGCGACAAGGGTGAGGTCGTCTGCATACTGAAGTTCAGTAATGAAAGCTGCCGACACCTTTGCTCCTGGCTGGAGTCATATTGCGTTGAAAAGACCCGTCATCCGGTACTCAGTGTACACCCCGCCGGCTAAATTGACACTGGCACGAATAAGGAAGGCAGACAAGAAAATGAGAATTGGTGCCAGTATACACCCTTGTTTAACCCCGTTTGGATAGGGACTGGGTGCCATTGTGCAGGACATTGCCGTTCATGCCATTGTGGGGTTGCTTCACGATGGCGATGAATTTTGGGGGCAGCCAAAACTGCTGAGGGTCCACCAGAGGACTTCCCTGTTGACCTAGTCGATGGCCTTGGTTAGGTCGATGAAAGTCATGTACAGGTCACGACGCTGTTCTCTGCACGTTTCCTGTATCTGGCGGGGAGCAAAGATCATGTCAGTGGTGCCAAGTGATTGTCTAAAGCCACGTTGAGATTCTGGGAGGAAGTTTTCTTCCCCGGGAAAAAGCCTTTACGTGGATTTGGGCAATAATCTTGCCAGCTACGTACAGCAGTGAAATCCCGCGGTAGTTGCCACAGTCTGACCGGTCTCCCTTGTTCTTATAATTATTGTCGATGGAGGCGTCTTTAAGATCTTTGGGGGGGATTTCCTCCTTTTCCCATATATTTCCAGGAGGGAGTGGAGACCACTGGTAGGCAGAGGTCCTCCTCCTTTAAACACCTCGGCTGGGGTTCCATCAGGCCCTGAGGCTTTATTTTTTATCTATTTGATGGCGGTAACTACCTCATACAGGGAAGGAGGATAGCTGAGGTGAGTCGGCTCTGGATGTTGAGGGATCTGCTGGGTAGTCAGGACATCCACATCAGTGTTTCGGTTGAGCAGTGAAATGTAGTGCTCTTTTCAGCACTGAAGGAGGACTTCATCGTCTTTAATTATGGAGTTATCTTTGGATGAGCGGAGGTGGGCTGCACCACAAGAGATTGGACCATAAAAATGTTTTGGTGGAGTTGAAAAACTCGCGCATCTTGTTCTGAACTGCAAATTTTTGTGTTTCACATGATTTATCTTTAAACCAGTCATTCTTTAGGTTGCAAGGTTCTCGCTGTGCCACGGCTTTCTTCTTCCGGAAGGTCTCATTTTTGGTCCAAGACTGAAGGTTGCTCTGCCAGTCAGTTAAAGCAGCACGTTTATCATCGATGAGTACATTGATTGCCTGGTCATTTTCATCAAACCAGTCCTGGTGTATTCTTTCGATCTGGCCGAAGGTCTCTCTGCAGGTTTTTGTCATGACAGTGTTGAGAATATCTCATTCAGCACTGGGATTTGGGTTGTACGTTTTCGGGTTGTTTATCAGCCCATGTTCGAGCTACTCTCTGAAAGCATATGCTACCCCTGGATCGTCCAGACTCTTATTCTTAAAACCTCTTCTAGAGGCTTGCTGCCTTTGCCGTTTTGGGGCGCTAATGGCGGCTATGTCCATGTTAAACATAGCCAGCTCTTTTGCCACAAGGGCGGCTCTTCTTTCAGGACTAGCATTTGTGCCAGTATCAAAAAGGGTCCTGACATTCCATGCAGCGAACATAAGAGGTTGTATAGTTATTTTTGTTTGGA